CTGAAGCTGAAACTCCAATACTTTGGTCATCTGATGTGAAGAACTGACTCATTTGAAAAGACCCTCATGATGGGAAAGATTGAAGGTGGGAGGAGAAGGGGACAACAGAGGATGAGATGGTTGGATGGCATCATGGACTCAATGGCCATGAGTTTGAGTAAACTCCAGGAGTTGGTGATGGACAGGAAGGCCTGGTATGCTGTAGTCCATGGGGTCGCAGAGTCAGACACGACCGAGTGACTGAACTGAACTGAACTGAAGACATATGCAGCAGTTTTTATATGATTTGAAAATATCTGAAGTTTCTACTGCTGACAAAGTCATAGTTCTTGGTGATATTGCTGTATTGGTTGTTTACATTTAAAATGGAATGGAATGCTAAATTTCAATTATACATTAAGGAAAAGAGATATGTTAACTTTTTCCCACTCATGTTCATGGAGCCCCTGACTTTTTCCCTCAGGCCTCCAGTTTGAGAACCACTGCTTTAAGCATATTTTGCCTGCATCTGCTTCCCTGATAGCTCAGTTGGTAAAGAATCCTCCTGCAACGCAGGAGACCCCAGTTAGATTCCTGGATCTGGAAGATTCTCCTGAAGAAGGGATAGGCTACCCACTCCAGTATTCTTGGGCTTCCCTTGTAGCTCAGCTGGTAAAGAATCTGCCTGCAATGCAGGAGACCTGGGTTTGATAACTGGGTTAAGAAGATCCCCTGGAGAAAAGAAAGGCTACCCACTCCAGTATTCTGGCCTGGAGAATTCCATGGACTGTATAATCAATGGGGTAGCAAAGAGTTGTACACAACTGAGTGACTTTCATTTTCACTTTTCTTTGCCTGTATCTGTTGTAGATGGTTTTTATCATTGAATTTTCTCCTGTTTCCAAGTCCTGTTTGCACAGGAGCTTCTCTTCCAGGAAGCCTTCTCAGGTTCATCTGAGCAGGTTCCTTCCCTATGATTCCTTCCAAAGCACCATGAGCTTCTTCCTTCTCATTCTGCCCACAGTTATAGCATCCTATTTGTGTGTTTTCCCTTTTTAAAAATATTAAATCTGGGACTTCCCTGGTGGTCCAGTGGTTACAAATCCACCTTGCAATGCAGAGGATGCAGGTTCCACCCCTGGTCAGGGAACTAAGATCCCACATGCCCCAGGGCAGCTGAGCCTGTTTGCTGCAACTAGAGAGTACGCATAACACAGCAAAGGTCCTGCACGTACCACAGCTAAGATCTGACACAGCCAAATAAATATAAATAAATGAATAAATACTTTTTAAATTAAATGTAACTTTTTCCCTGATAATATAAATAATATGGGTTCATTGGAACAATTTTGAACATTACATAAAAGGACAAGGGAGACCATGAAAATCACCCAGACACCTGTTCTTTGAGATAACCACTGCTCATATTGTTTTTGTTTAGTGGCTAAACAATTGTATCTGACTCCTTTGCAACTCCAAGGAACACCAGACTCCTCCATCCATGGGATTTCCCAGACAAGAGTACTAGAGTGGGTTGCCATTTCCTTCTCCAGGGGATCTTCCCCACCAGGGATAGAACCCTCATCTCCTATAGTGGCAGGCGGATTCTTTACCATCTGAGCCACCAGGAAAGCCCACTGTTCATATTAGGTTAGAATAAATTCTCCTTGGTCCCTGTGTGATGTCTTGGTATGTGTTGGTCTCCCCTGCTAGAATGTAGCCCTACAGGTGGGGGAGGGTGGGAGGGGAAGAAACTTGTTGGTGTTAAATGAAAAATAAACTCTGAGGGCCCAGGAGTTGAGCATTGAATGGACTTTTTTTTTTCCTCTCCCAAGAGAGCCTGATCTATGGGGGACGAGACTGGGAAAATTTGTCCTTTAAAAGCAAAAATCCTGCTCATCATCTCTGTCTGATATTAATAAGCTAATCAATGCTGGGTTTGTTGGTTGGGCAAATACTGGGCTCTGTGGGGTGCCCACCCTGGGCTTCAGTGTCCAACTGCCTTCTATGGCACTCAGGTCTATCAGCGGCTGGGTGGCTGTTTCAGGCACCGTAATTGGCATCTGCTCTCCCCCGGGGACCTGGCGTGTAGGGGATGCTCAGTAAATGTCTGCTGAATCTTTATTCCCCATTATTTCCTCCATGTTCCACTTTGTGATAATGTTTGAAACCCCTCCTTCATCTCTTTGATACTGTCCACTCCTAGTTCTCTCAAGTAACTGACTTCCCTTCTTTCATCTCTGAGAGACCTCCTTAAGTTTTTCTATACCTCAGTGGTGATTCCATACCATTTTTCATTCATTTGAAAAATGAATGAAAATTTGTCAGTGATGTCTATTTACTTGGTTTTAGTCCTTTTCCCCAACTAGAATAACAACTCATTGAGAGCAGAGATAGGGCTCCTCCAGTCACACGTCCATCTCCCAGGAACAATTTGTGGTCTATCACAGGTGCCCAGTAAACACTTATTGATGGAACTTAAAATGAATGATTAAGTAATTTCTCAGACCAAATCCTCCTTCTCATCATAGGCTAGAAGACTTTCCTGGTGGGTCTGGATATTAGTGTTCATGCCCATTTCTTTTCTTTTTTGGCTGCTCTGGCTCTTCACTGTGGCATGAGAAGGCTTCTCTAGTTTCAGCACACAGGCCTAGTTGCCCCACGTCATGTGGGATCTTAGTTCCCTGACCAGGAATCGAACCTGTGTCTCCAGCATTGGAATGTGGATTCTTAACCACTGGACCACCAGGGAAGTTCCACATATCCATTCTCATTGCAGAAAACCAATCTGCACTAATGTCTGCCTAAGCCCTTCCACTTTCTTGGCTCCTCTTCAACACAGGTGTTCTAATAATTCAGTGCTGGTTTTGTGCTCACAACACATTTTCAATTCCTGAAATTTGGTTGTGCACTTGAAGAAATTTAAAGATTCAGAACAAGACTAAAGAAGCAAACAGTGATTACAAAACAATGTCTTATAGTAATTATAAAATTATGTATGGTTCCCGTGGTGGGGTCAACATTTTACCTCCCTGACAATACATCTACATACATCTATCCATATTCTAACATTAGATGTCGCTTCTTTAGTACTGTAATTCCAGCAAGTTGCACAGACGCAAGTTGTGTCCACACCAAGTTACAATACTCATTGACTGATGTTGTGGCAGTGATTTTATGTCTCATCATAGCAAAAATACATTTTACACATGATTCTGAATTCACCCACCTATGCAGGTTTGGCAGCTCACCACTCGCACATCATGGTGCCAATCTATTGACTATCAGTTTTCTGATGCTTGGCCTGACCCAAATGCAAGAGAGCCACTGTTGACCCACATGGGTTCCTCATTAAATATGTATCTATAAAGTGAGGGTATGGAGCCCTCTGTACATGTGGGCAGTGGTTGCAAATATCCTATTGAGTGTATTTCTAATTGTTAGGTAGAGCTGGGAATTTCTCTCCAACTGTGTAAATGGCAAAGGGTGGATAAAGAGAACTAAGAGTAAGCCAAGCTGGCCACAGCCAAAGCAGAAACTGTATGAAGAACAGGTGTAACAGGTCAGCCACACCCAATAAACAGAGTGAAAGGAGATTAAAAGCCAAGATCAGCTAACTGTCCAGGAGAGCTCCCTAAAGACTCCTGCCCACCTGCTGTCCCCTAGGAAACCAACACTTGCTTAATTATAATGAGACGGTACCAGACATAAGGGGAGAAGTAGTCAACTGAAGCAGGATATTCTAGGGTTAAGACACGGTGGGCATCAATGGAATATTACTCAGCCATAAAAAAGAATGTATTTTGAGTCAGTTCTAATGAGGTGGATGAAACTGGAGCCTATTATACAGAGTGAAGTTAAGTCAGAAAGAGAAACACCAATACAGTATATTAACGCACATATATGGAATTTAGAAAGATGGTAACAATGATCCTATATGCAAGGCAGCAAAAGAGACATAGATGTAAAGAACAGACTTTTCAACTATGTGGGAGAAGGTGAGGGTGGGAAGATATGATAGAATAGCTTAGAAACATGTGTATTACCATGTGTAAAATTGATGACCAGTGCAAGTTCGATGCATGAAGCAGGGCACTCAAAGCCAGTGCTCTGGGACAACCCAGAGGGGTGGGGCGGGGAGGGAGACAGGAGGAGGGTTCAGGATGGGGGGATACGTGCACCTGTGGCTGATTCATGTTGATGCATGGCAAAAAAATCACAATATTGTAAAGCAATTATCCTCCAATTAAAATGAACAAATTAAAAAAAAAGACATGGTAGACATGAGGGCAGAGAGAAGAGATGCTTGAGCAAAGGACAGAGAAGACCACGACAGGGTTGTGGTGCATGTGGGTTAGACTGCGCACCATGTTGCTGAGGTCAGCTGACTCCCATTAGGAGTACACCCTGCCAGGAAGGATTACACACGGGTTATCAAGTGGGAATAAAGTGGAAGTATTTGGATACATGGCTTTGGCCTTTCACTAGGGGTGATCTTGATCGGTGGGGTCCTGCTGGGCTCGAGATGATGATCTTGAGAGTGCGAGCCAGTCATTAGGCATCACTGATACACCAGGTCTCTCTCATATCATCAACGCTTTGTTATTCAAGTGTGTTAATATCTCTGCAGTGGCTCATATAAGTACCAGCCTCCTCCTCCCTCTTCTCACTTCTCACTTACCTGTGATTTCACATCTTACAAGGTCTTCAACTAAAAAAAGGTGGGCTAAGAAATTCTGTGAAACCCCAAATAGTTTTACTTCTATACCTGTAAGTGCTGGTTTAAGATTTTTTCCTGGGAAGATTAAAATGAAGTAATTGCATAAAATGAGATCTCATAATTTTCTGTACAGTTGAATTTCAATTAGTACTATCTATGAAAGCATCATCTGTCATACCATTAGTTATCAAGAATTAACTCTACCAGAATGAAAAGAATAAAACACAGTTATAGATATAAATAAGGACACATAGGCATGCATTTTAAATTTAATATTCAGGTGAGGTCATTAAAAATAAACAGGAAGATTTATTGTTACCAGGCAGTCCTGAGTTATTTTATCATGGGAAAAATTATAGAGTTTTGTATATTGAAATTCATGAATGCTAAGAAACCAAAAAAAATTTTTGTTTTAAGTTAACTATAAGTTATTTTTAATAATACACAGACGGATGGATGTATTAGAGTGGAAATCAGAAGTGGAGAATCAGATAGCTATATCTGCTTAAACCAAAAGAAAGAAAAGATTTCACTCACTCATTGCTAACTAGGTACTGTAGAGAAACTGGGGAATTTTGAGTAGTGACACTAGATCGAGTGTTTCTAAACTCTTGGTCTTCATCAAGCCAAAGTTACTAATCTCCCTCTTGTGTTATACTGGGCATACGAAAAAAATGGCTTCAATTTCAAAATCAGGTCACTACATCAACAGTTTTGAAATCAATTTTTATAGTTTAATGGCCGATTTCCTCACAGTTCACCAAAACACCAGCTCTTGACCTATTTATTTCTCTCACTTAGATCAAATAAAAGGCTATAAAGAATCCTGAATCTATTCTACACTTGTGAATTAAATGAGGGTTCTTTTTAAAAATCTTTGATTATTCCATACACCTAAACAAGGTTGCGAGAAATAGCCCTATTTGAATGCCATTCATTTATTTTTTGTATAACAGCATAGACATTTAGAGCTAAAGGGATCTTAGAAACTAGTCTGTATCAGTCAGGAATATGGATTTTATGATTGACAGAATACCATCTCAAAACATCTTAGGCAAAAGGGAGAGTGGATTGGAATCAATCTTAGTGTCCCATTTGACAGCAGATCAGGCAATATACATGGGTCTCATGGTCCAAATGCCACCAGAGTGATCTCCTACATCTGCTTTTCACTGCACGTTAGCACTTCAACTTTATGTGGCAGAACCAGGACTGCCGAGTGGTTGTGAGCCCCATTCTACACACTTTACCCAGAGATGGTCACGCTTTTCACAGTTCCAGTTCAACAACAAAAACAAACAAACAAAACATCTCAAGCAAGCTTTCTGATTGGTCCAGCTTTGGTCAGGTGCCCCTCCGAACTAATCAGTGACAGCCAGGGAGGGGAATGAAGTCCTGTAAGAAAATGGAGGTCCAACAACACTTGGGGTGTGGGAAAGAAACAGTTCCTGGAAGAAGGGAGGGAGATGATGGGCAGACACCCCCCCCAAAAATCCATTCTGACTCATTTTACAGATGTGGAAATTTAGGCTCAGGGAAATTAAGTGACTTACTCAAGGTCACAGCTTGTACTTAAACTTGGCTCATCTGGCAGTCCGTCAAACACTTGCCTCACTCCCAAACACTGCTGCTCATTCTGTACAAGCTTCATCTCAAGCTCTTTCAGCAGGAAAGACAGCAGGCTAGTGGTGAAAGAGGGTGGAATTAAGGGTCTTATGTTAAACTTCTTTCCAGTCTTTTGCTAAAGTTTTAACTTCACCAGTCTTTCTGTTGTCTAGTTTTGCTTTATTTTCTTAGTGAGGGAATGGACACCCGAAGCAGGAATCCCCCTTCTGCTCTTGTCAGTCCCAGGGGCTTCAGCCAAGCTGAAGTTACATAATTATCACCATAACAGCCTACACTGGAGAGAGGACTCACAATGCGCCGGAGACTATGCTTTTGATACATTCTCTCATTTAAGTCTCCTACAGCCCTGTGAGAGAAGCATTAATATCATCACCATCCTATTTTGGGGCTTTCCAGGTGGCACTAGTGGTAAGAACCTCCCTGTCAGTGCAGGAGATATAAGAGACTCGGGTTTGATCCCTGGGTGGGGAAGATCCCCCGGAGGAAGATATGGCAACCCACTCCCAGTATTCTTGCCTGGAGAATCCCATGGACAGAGGAGCCTGGTGGGCTATAGCCCACAGGGTTGCAAAGAGACGTGACTGAAGCGACTTAGCACGCATGCATCCCATTTTGCAGTAAGAAAACTGAGGCAGAGAGAGATTAATTAACTTGTTGAAAGTTGTAGAGCTGGGAAGGATGCAGGCATTATTGGAACCCAGGCAGTTTGATTCTAGGCCCATTGAAGGCCTGATTGTATCTGAGACTCTTCAGGTGCCTGCTGACCTAGAGCAGGTTCAAGTCTGGAGATAAACTGTTTAGGCTTTGGAGCTAAATTAGGGTTTGAGAGTTGGTCAACTGCTCACTAGCCTTGCAATTTTGGGCAAATAAGTTCTTAGCCATTAATCTTTGCCTTGGTTTTCTTTTTTTATATATACTTATTTTTATTTATTTATTTGGCTACTTTAGATCTTAGTTGCTGCACGTGGAATCTAGTTCACTGACCAGGCATCAAACCTGGGCTTCCTGCATTGGGATTGAGGTGTCTTAGCCACTGGACCACCAGGGAAGTCCCCAACCTTGGTTTTCTTATGTGTAAAGTGAAGGTAGTAATATCTGCCTCAAAGTCTTTTAAAGATTGAGTGAGATAAAATGTTAGAGCCGACAGCAGAGTGCCTGGCAGAAAATAAACTTCAAAAAGGTCATTTTAGTTTTGAGTCTTAATCTTGGGGGCTGGGTCTGACTTTTGGGCACCCAAATCCTTACACTTTTTTGAAGAGTATGAGAGTAGCTTATGTAAATAGGATTGTTCATGACCTGAAGCTTGACCTTGATCCACCTTCAACCTGGGCTGACTGGAGGAAAGTGGGTTTGGTAACTCAGGAAGGCATGTGCACACGGTGGCAGGAGGGAGGAGACCCTTGCCCTCCATAGATGGTGTTGAAAAAGACAAGGCTGCCAGTTACCCTCTACTCCCTTCTCATCAATCAGGTGACTCTTTCCTTTGGAGGATATTGCTGTGGTCCTTGCTTTTTTCTTTCCTTTGTCATGGCTGCACCAGGTTTATTTCTGATATCATCTGATTTGTGCTATATTCAGGCCCCTCCCAACCTGAGGGTTGGCCCTGGCAGAGCAAAATGCCTTCTGGATCTGTGTAATGATTGCATAAGTCCAACCTTACTTCCAGCCTCTCACATCCATTCTCACCTCCAAATATTTTAGCCACAAAAGGTATGCCTTTTGTTAAAACTTTAACCAGTTTTTGCCTGGATTTTTTTCAGGTCCCAGGTCTAGGCTGATAAAGGGTTGCACTTTGTACTCCAGACAGGACCCACAGGAAAGAGGCGAGTGGTCAGCCATTCCACAGATAGGAACAAGAACAAAAACATGACCAAAGAGATGACACGATGGATGAATGAAAGATGTCAGTGTCCTTTCAAATACTGTAATGATCAAAATTTTGCTTTAGAATGTGTGTGCATGTATCTTTGTATGGAAGTCATATTTGAAAATACTTCACCCACCACCCATGCATGCCTTTTTATTGTAAGCAAGCAGCCCAGCACCCAAGACATTACAGAAGTTTGTGATTCCTTCAGCTAAGATGGCTTGACCTATATATAAGTAGAAAAATCCCAGCTAGTCCAGACTCTCTGAAAGTGGAACTATATAACACATTTCCCTGAGATAAAATGCCATGAAATCCTTTTGGGTTTTTTCCAGGAACCCTTGAGTCCTTAAAGGGATAGAACTTAAGGCAATGGAAAGAGGGAAAAAAAAAAAAAAAAAACAACTTGTGCAACCTGTGAAAGAAAAACAAAGAACTGAAGGGAGCAGATTATGAGAAAGATTGAAATAAAATCAACAGAAAAGGACAGGGAAACCCAATGGAGGAGCCAATCAGAAGCGGGAAGGAACTGCAGGACCTGCTCACACACACACACACACACACACACACACACACACACACACACACACACACACACACATTTTCAAGAAAAAGGTGCGAAGGAAACAAAACTGTTGTGGAAGAGGGAAGGGGGCGGGGAGGGAGAGAAGAATCAAGAGAGAGGCAGATTGAAATCTCAAGATCTAGACCGGGTCAAGCTGGAAGAACTGGCAGAGTAAGAACCAGGGACTTGGTGGGGAATCCCATAGCGATCTGTTTACAAAAAGATAGGCCTATGGAAATTCCACAAGTGACTTTTGAGATTCAAATCCGAAATAGAGAAGGACCCAAAGCACACACTATCTGTGTGTATTTTAACCGCCGGACGAGCTTCTATCTAGAGGAAATTCTCCCTAGCCTTGAACAGATACTGAAATTTTACATTTCAACAGACCTAAATACCCTCCACGTGGCCTCCGACAGTGCCTGGGGGGCCGGCCAGTCGCCGCGGTCCCGCTCCGCCAGCTCCCGGAGCCCCGCGGGAACGCGCAGCGCGCCGGGGCCGCCCCCTCGGAACTCCCCTCGCATTGTCTGTGCGCCAGGGAGTCTCCGCTTCCCCGGCGCGCTCCGGGTTATTGTTCTCCCTTCGCCCGCGGGGAGCAGGGAGGGACCGGTGGGAAGGGGGCGGCGGCGGCGTGAGGCGGCCGCCTGGGTCCTGGGGTCGTGCACCCGGGGGTGGGTCCGTCCGATGCCACCTGGGGCGGGGGGCCGGGAGGATGCGGGGGCCGCCTCGCGCCTCCCCGGGCCCGTGCCTGTCCCGCAGGTGCCCCGCTCCTGGGTGACAGCCGGACAGGCTGGGAGCGGGAAGCCGGGCGGGCGTCCCGGTGCCGCGCAGTGGCTCCCGCGGCCGCCTGGCCGCTCGCAGCTCAGGGGAGGGACGCTGTGACGCACCCTCCGGTATTAGAACACTTCACCTTCTATTTATAGACACTCCTCCAACCGCAGACCTAGCTCTCCTTCCCTCCGTCGTGAAGGAAGGGACGAAAAATCCTACCTAGAATGGAAGCTCCTAATACGCAGTGATAAAGAAGAATTCCATTTTGCGCATTCCTTTATAATTCCAACTATTAATTGCAGGTCTAGGGAGCTCTCTCTGGCACAGGGAATTTCTGAAGCTTTAAAACCTAGATGACTTTATTTTACATGTCTCCTAAACATGTCAAATAAATTCGTCTCTTGTGAGTTCATGAAATATTCGCCAAGAATTTGCTCAAACTGGCTAAGGCACAACCCCACTGAATTCAGAGAAAGGATGTTTCTAGCTGGCTTTCTGTATTTACTAAAAACTAGTAATTCTAACCATAAAATTTATTTGGGAGGGGACATATATAGAGGGAAAATATCGCACTTTTCAAACAAAAGTAAAGTTTGTCTTAGGGTTCTGGTTGTTGTTTTTTTTAATTGGCACTTTTGGATACTGACTTTATGCTCTTAGATGTACACCATCCATGTAATTATAGTTGATTAAAAATAATTCTTACCTAGTCATAGTAACATTTGCAGTAATTAAAACAGGGGATTTTTTAAAACTGTAATTTATTTCTCATAATTTGGTTGTTTGTGCTGCAGTCAACACTTAAAAGGAAGCCTGATCATTATCTTTCATCTTGGTTTCTATTCAGTTTCACTTTCTAAACTCTAGAGTCAACCAAAGAAATACTGCCCTTTACATTTATTAATAAAAAAGATATACATATGTAAATATAGGCATTTTATATGCCTTTTTGAAAGGCTTTTTTAGAGCCACAAAATTGAGGGCAATGTACATAGATTTTCCATATAGCCTGTGCCCCTACCCAAGCATAGCCTCTCCCATCATCATTATCACTCACCAGATTTATACACTTTTTACCAAGGTTGAGCCTACCTTTACAAATCAGCCACCCAAAGCCCATCGTTTCCCTTAAGGTTCTATTCTTGGCCTTGTGCATTCTATGGGTTTGGACAACTGTATAATGACAAATATTTATCTTTATAATACAAAGTCTTTTCACTGCTCTAAAAATCCTCTAAACTCTCTATAGGTCCATTTTTAAAAGCCTAGCTAAACCACAGATTGCTTACCATGCAGGCAATTCTAAGACCGCAAAATGCAAGCAGAATACCCAGTGTCCACTCCTGCTAACACCTAGTGTATAAAGTAAGGGGTATCTGTATGTAAAAGCAATATAGTTGACCATTGAACAAAGGAAGGAGGTTGAAACACACTGACCTTCCTATGCTCTGTGCAGTCAAAAATCCCAGTATAATTTAGAGTGGCCCCTTCACATCCTCAGGGCTTCCATGGTGGCTCAGTGGTAAAGAATCTGCTTGTGATTCAGGAGACGCCAGTTTTATCCCTGAGTTGGGAAGATCCCTGGAGAAGGAAATGGCAACCCACTCCAGTATTCTTGCCTGGAAAATCCCATGGACAGAGGAGCCTGGCCGGCTATGGTCCATATGGTCACAAAGAGTTGGACATGACTGAAGCAACTTTGCACACACGCAAACAGTTCAAACCTTGTTCAAGGGCCAACTGTATTATAACTCGATTTTCTATACAAAAATCACATGCTATTACTGTAGAATCATTTAATAAAGTTTAAGAGCAACCACAATAGCAGTTATTGCTGCTGCTGTTAGTGCTTTATAAAATATCCATTTGATAGTAGGTCACTCTGAAAGACAATTTGGCAATAGCCATCACATTTTTAAACACATTAATATTCGCCCTTGGACCCAGCAATTCCACTCCTGGGAACATATGCTACAGATGCAGTACACACATGTGAAGTCATTGGTTTGTTGCAGTGTTTGTACTAACAAAAAGTTAGAAACAGTGTAAATGTCCTATAATTGTGATACATCCATGTACATCCATATTCCATAGGCTTGAAGAAGATTAAAGCAACCTCTTTTTGTGCCGACACACTGTTAAGTGAAAAAAGAAAGGTGCAGAAACAGAATAAAATATCATCAATTACATCACAAAAATAAATATAATGCTATGTTTGTTTTATAAATATCAAATGTATATTTACATGGAAATATTTATGAAACTGGTAGCAATGTTTGCCTCCTGTGAGGTAACTGAGAGGCTAGAATAGGAGACAAACATTTTCTATTATCTATCATTTTGTATCTTTGAATTTTGCTCCATATGGATGTATCATCAATTTGCAAGTTTTTAGTCTAAAATTACATTTAAATTCCTTTCTAAATTTACCCACATATGATAGGTCTGTCTTTAATTTGTAGAAGTTCTACATTTGGGATTATTATCATTTTAGAGAAGTTTACTGTGATGAAACAATACTAAATTAAACTAAACTAAGCTAAACTTTTATCCTTAGCACTCTTTTATCCTAGCTCTACCTGATCTGTGAGTCATCATAGAAATGCTTTACCCAGAGGTTGCTAGTATGCTATTGCCAGCACTTTAAAAGAAGGTTCTCAATTATTGATATATATTTTTCTCTATTCATGTGGCATGTTATGAATGGGAGTAATGGCAAAGTTAATGGTCTATTGAGTATCTATTATAAAATAATTAAAGATATTTTTTATATCTCAATCTATTTTATTTTGCATTAGACTGTCACTTAATGCAAGGGACTGTTTATCAGAAGTCGAATTTCCTACAATGACTTTTTGTGCTAGAGATCAAGTGGTTAGGTTTCAAACTATTTCAGTGGGATAATGGTACACAGAGTGTTTCTGCTTCTGTTTAAAAAGTGAAAAAACAGAACATCAGGGTAGATGAGAGATGTGCACTAAAAAGTTATACCAGACATGAGATAAAAGTTTTATGTTTTCAACTCCATTGTAGATATCTTTTTTCCCCCTTCCAGCTTCACTGAGATATAATTTACATATAATATTGTGTACGTTTAAGGTGTACAAAGTGTTGACTTGATACCCTTACCTATTGCAAAATCATATTGCAGGTATAAGTTCATGTAGGTGTGTGCTGTTACCCTTCAACATAACAACAGGACTGGGTGCAGGACTTTGCCAGGATGGTTTTCTTCAGAGGAACCAGCACCAAAGCCTTGTGATGAAAATGATGATGAAGATTAGGAGAGATATCTTTGAACAAGCAGAACTATTACTTAATATATGCACTATTACTTAATGCACTTAGGGCACTTTGCAAGAGTCTGGCAGAGAAAGGGGGCTCAACATAGAATTATTATTGGAATGAGGAGAGGTTTATTGTAGTCTCCTGGGTCACAAGTTGTGTTTGGGGTCATAAGATAAGGGCTCCCCATATTCCACAATTCTTAAGAGCTGCCAAGTCCCCGTGCAATGTTTCCCACCTACAGGTACCACCATAGTGAACCGCATTCATGATTTGTTCTATCTCTAGGCACCAGTTACACTATTATTAACACAGGTAGAGAGTGCTGGCATGCTGCTGTCCATGGGGTCACAAGGAGTCGGACATGACTGAGTGACTGAATTACGAGAGTTTTTAAATCGTTAATTCAAGCTGGCTTTGCTACTTTGCTAAGCTTTGTTCAAAGCAATAACCACGGATTTTAGGTGTCAGTGACATATGTAATATGCATATAATATTAGGATAAAATATGTATATCATATTAGAATAAAAAATGCTTGTCTGTGAACCTGCTGAAAGCATGTCGACCCATGTAGCTTATTGACCCAATTGCCATGTAACTGTCTTCCATAACCTGAAGTGGACCCTGTGAGACTCTTGGCAGATATTCCTCCTCCTCATGGCTTCCCTGGTCAGTGGTAAAGAATCTACCTGCCAATGCAGGAGATGCAGTTTCTACCCCTGGGTCAGGAAAGTTCCCTATAGAAAAAGCTGGCAACCCATTCCAGTATTCTTGCCTGGGAAATCTCATGGACAGAAGAGTATGGTGGGCTATGGTCCAAGGGGTCGCAAAGAGTTACACATGACTTAGCTACTAAACAACAATAGTGACAACCACTCCCCTTCACATCCTAGATTTGGTTGGGGTGGCTACTTCAGAGCTAACCATGCTGCCTAGCCATGCTGGATAATCACTGGCTAACCATGCTGTGTGCACACACTTTCAGAGCAGAAAGCTCTTCTGGCTCCTAGCCACGCGTGATTAGACCTGCGTGTATTCATGTGTCTGTGTGTCCATATTCTGGTGGACATTTGCATTGCTGCTGGTCTCAGCTCAGAAAGGACACTCTCTGATAAATATACTCCAGTCAGTTATTTAAGAACCAGAGCACCTTATGTGGGTAGTGAAGATGTTAAAAGGGTGGGAGTGTTTTGGGGGAAGAGCCCCAGTTTGTGTGACCTCTCTGGCAAGCCTCAGGTTACAGAAGAGTGAGAGGTTGTGGAAAACCTTATCTTTTGGCATTAGCCTAAGATATATTGGCTTAGATAAAATCATGCATACAAAAGAATATAAGGCACACCTTGTTTTTATTACACTTCAAGGTATTGCCCTTCACAGATGTGTTTTTTGTAAATTCAAGGTTTATGGCAACCCTATATTGATCAAGTCTATTGGTGCCATTCTTTCCAACAGCATTTGCTCACTTTGTGTCTTTGTGTGACATTTTGGTAATTCGTGGAAAATTTCAAACTTTTTCCTTATCCTGTTTGTTATGGTGATCTGTGATCAGTGATCTTTGATGTTACCATTGTTTTGGGGGACCACAAACATCCACCATATAAGACAGCAAACAATTGATAAATATTGTGGTGTCTGCTTCACTCTTCTGTCTCCCTCTCCTTGGGCCCTCCAATTCTCTGAGGCACAATGATGTTGAAATTAGACCAATTAATGACCCTACATTGGCCTCTAAATGTTCTAATGATAGGAAGAGTTGCATGTTTCTCACTTTAAATCAAAAGTTAGAAATGATTAAGCTTAGTGAGGAAGATATGTCAAAAGCTGTGATAGGCGAAAAGCTAAGCCAAATTGTGAATGCAAAGGAAAACTTTTTGAAGGAAATTAAAAGTGCGACTCCAATGAACACACAACGATAAGAAAACAAAACAGCCTTACTGCTGGCATGGAGAAAATTTTAACCTGGAGAGAAGCTCAAAGGAGCCACAACATGCCCTTAAGCCAAAGCCTAATCCAGAGTAAGGCCCTAACTCTCTCTCTTCAATTCAGTGAAAGCTGAGAGAGGCGAGGAAGCTGCAGAAGAAAAATCTGAAGCTGTTAGAGGTTGGTTCATGAGGTTTAAGGAAAGAAGCCATCTCCAGAACATTGAAGTGGAGGGTGAAGAATTAAGTGCTGACATAGAAACTTCAGCAAGTTATTCAGAATATCCAGCTAAGATAACTAATGAAGGTGGCTACACTAAACAACAGATTTTTAATGTGGATGAAACAGCCTTCTATTGGAAGAAGATATCACTTAGAGCTTTCATAGCTAGAGAGGAGAAGTCAATGCCTGGTTTCAAAGCTTCAAAAGACAAGTTGACTCTCTTGTTAAGGGCTAATGCAGTTGGTAACTTGAAGTCAAAGTTAACACTAATTTACCATTCCAGAAATCCCAGAGCCCTTAAGAATTATTCTAAACCTAATCTGCCTGTGCTCTACAAATGGAAAAATAAAGCCTAGGTGATAGCTCATCTCTTTAGTACCTAGTCTTCTGAACATTTTAAGCCTACTGTTAAGACCTAGTGCTCAGGAAGAAAGATTCCTTTCAGCTCCTTGACAATGCACCTGGTTACCCAATAGTTGGGATGCAGATGTACAATGAGATTAATGTTATTTTCATGTCTGCTAACACAACGTTCATTTTGTAGCCCATGAATCAAGAAATAGTTTCTACTTTCAAGTCTTACTATTGAAGAAATAGATTTCATCATGCTCTAGCTGCCATAGATAGTGATTTCTCTGATGAATCCAGGCAAAATCAGTCGAAAACCTGAAAAGGATTTACCATTGTGTATTCTATTAAGAACATTCGTGATTCATGGGAAGAGATCAAAATATCAACATTACCCGGAGTTTGGAAGGAGTTGATTCCAACCCTCAGGAATGACTTTGAGGGTTCAAGACTTCAGTTGAGAAAGTAACTGCAGAAGTCATAGAAATACCGGGAGAACTAGAGTTAAAAGTGCAGCCTGAAGATGTGACTAAACTGTAATCTCATGATAAAACTTTGACAGATGAGGAATTGCTTCTTATAGATGAGCAAAGAAAGTGGTTTCTTGAAATGGAATCTACTCCTGGTAAAGATGCTGTGAAGATAGTTGAAATGACAAAAAAGGGATTTAGAATATTACATAAACTTAGTTGATAGAGCAGTCACAGGGTTTTATAGGATTGAGTACAATTTGAAAGAGTTATCCTCGGGGTAAAATATTATCAAACAGAATCACATGCTACAGAGAAATTTTTTGTGATAGGAAGACTCAATCAATGCGGCAAACTTCATTGTTGTCTCATTTTAATAAATTACCACAGCTGCCCCAACCCTCATCAGCCAGCAGTCATCAGCAAGAGGCAAATCTCTCTACTAGGAAACCAGGAAAGTGATTATGACTCTCTGAAGGTGCAGGTGATCGTTAGCATTTTTTTTAAAGCAATATAATATTTTTAAATTAAGGTATGTACATTTTTTTTAGACATTATGCAATAGCACACTTAATAGACTTCAGAGAAATGTAAACATAACCTTTATGTGCACTGAAAAACCAAAAAATTCATGACTCATTTTATTTTGATATTTGCTTTATTGCACTGGTCAGGAGTTAAAGATTCCGCCTGTAATGTGGAGGAGATGCAGGAGATACAGGCCCAGTTCTGGGTCAGGCAGATCCCCTGGAGGAGAGCATGGCAACCCAGTCCAGTATTCTTGCCTGGAGAACCCCATGGACCTGGGCCTAGTGGACTGCGGTCCATGGGGTCACAAAGAGTCAGGACATGACTGAAGCGACTGAGCACTGGTCTGGAACCAAACTTGCAAACAGTCTCAAATTTTTGGGGGTTTTTCTTAAAATCAGTTAAAAACTCCAAAGCATTTGTCTCTGAGGTGTGCCTGTATAAAATGAAAGGGTATTGTTTACAAAAATTAAAAAATTGGCCACTCATATGTCTACCAACCCAGCTTAAGAAACAGGCTATTACCAGCCCCTTAGGAAGTGCCCGTGTGCCCATTTCTGAACATAACTGCCTCCCTGGCTTCTCTTGGGAACTACTTTTCCGAATTTTGTTTTGTTTTACAGCTGTAATGGTTATGTATGTATTCCTGAATAACATAGTATTTTATTTTATCTGCCTTTGAACTAGAAATAGATGGAATCTTTGACAACTTGGATTTTTTTTTTTTTTTGCTCTGCATTCTATTTTTGAGCCTCATCTAGTCCTGTCTTTTCTCTCGTCTTCGCAGACCTCCAGCCCAGATCCCCTCTGGGATTCTTGCATTTATCTCCTGACCAGGCTCTCTGTTGACAGACTCTTCCCTCCAGAATTCACTGTGCAAACCACCACCAAATCCTCACCTTCAAATGGGAAGTTATATTTAAAACTATTTTCCAGCAGTGTATTCAAGTGGCCTGAGAAATGTTTACCTTTAAAATTTTGCATGAAAAAAAAATTTTGTATGACTATAGATTACAATGGAGACGGAAATGGCAACCCACTCCAGTATTCTTGCCTGGAGAATCCCACGGACAGGGGAGCCTGGTGGGCTGCTGTCCATGGGGTCAAACAGAGTTGGACACAACTGAAGTGACTTAGCATTCTTGCATGCATAGATTACAAATCACACAAAATCTTAACAATGACTCTCTCTGGATGGTAGGATGATAAATAGCTTATTTTTTTTTTCTTTGTGATTTTTTTCTATTCCCCAACTTGTCAGTGGAAGCTTTGGATGCAAGGTTCAGGTCTTCCCTGCTTTTATCTTCTCCCACTGGTTTCTGAGGTCTGGCCTGGTGAAGAGGTGGGCGTGTGGGGTACAAGAGCAGAACACGGAGATCCTTTCTCAATGATACTCATATTCAAAGCCACAGCCTTTCTTTTCCACCCTCAGGCCAGCACATCATTATTTCCTCTGAGTGAGGCAACTGGGTCCTTCAACC